GGAACATGACAGAACAAGCAGCATAGATCTTCCATTTATTAGTTAGGACTTGGAGCCTTCAACTATTTCAGAACTTTGATATCTATTAATAAACTGTGGCAGAGTGGAATTGCCATCTGTTGACAAGACAGACTTGATATGAAAAATAAAGCTTTGATTATTCTTTCTGAATTTTTCATGCAGTTTTCTAAAACCTGCCATAAAACATTTTACCCACTCAATAGGCCATTCTTTTAAATAATATACTCAGATTATCTTTTAATCTACATATGCAGGATTTAAAAGAAATTACCTCTGTAACTACCTCTTTACTATGACAGCCATTCATTCCAAATTTCTGCTGAAATCAATGGTCACTAAGTTTCACATGGAAAGAGTTAATGTGTCATTACTTTGAGTATCCATAATTAAATAGTGACTAACAAATCTACAGACTGTTTATTCACACCACTAAAATTGAGGTTTTTCCTCTAATATCAGCAGATAACCCATATATTTATAAGCTAAATCAACAAGAAAATACATACTGCTAAAGTTCTTTCTATATTTCCTCTTCCTACTATATTTTAGCTTTCAAAACAAGTGAATCTCTTTAATGAATATATGTAAATATTCTAGTGATCATACAAGTTTAATATGCTTGCTTATATACTACAGCTGCATTCAGTATTTTGGGTCTCTCTTTTACAAAGCAATCACTGTAAATGGGGTCTTTTTAGTGCTTCATTAAAGATTCATCAATACTTGGCTTACTCACAGTATTCTGGCTCTGGACAGCATCTTTTACCTCTGCTAAGCAAGAATGTTTGCTAAGTGTAATGGAACCAACACTGGAATAAGAATCACACCTCACTTCTAGTGTAAACATTGACATGGCCAAGTCACATAATTTACCTTAACCCTTGTTTTATTACATATAAGATGAGCATTTCTCACAATTATGCTGTGATAATTTAATTTGTTCATTGAACAAGTATTTATAGAGAACTCAGGCTTGCTAGGCTCTGGGGTGTGGACAGGACACCTTATGCAGTATTTTGCTGGAGAAGACACACAATTTCAGTTACTAGTAAGTGCTACAAAGGATAACAGAAATGACAGTTTTAGGTTGCTTGGGGGAAAGATGCTCTGAGGAAGGGATATCTGAAGTGAGACTTGAATTGGTGAGAAGGAGTCAATCATGTAAAGTTCTGAGGGAAAAGCCCACTAGGCACAGCAATAAATACGGACAATTCATCTGAGTGACTTTCCCAACCCATGATGGTCACTTTATTCAAAACCTAGTAAAAAATCTGTTTCCCTTCCTTGGATTCTCCTGTGATTAACTCAACTTCAAATTTTGTGGTCAACATAGACTATACTCACTTTTAAATTCATGCTTCTGAAAATGTAATTAACTGTTCTGTTTACTGTAGTCCTATAAGTCACATATTCTTAAAGAAAGTCCTAGGATTCTTCTATTTACCTTCCACAGAAATTTAGCAGTATTATGCAGAGACAATGTTTGTTAAATGCTCAGGACCAACTACAATAAAGGAAATCAGTATTTTGTATCCTCATTACCAGAATAAGGTTTCATAATAGAGTACTTCAGAAAGAACTAAAGTGATAATGTAAATCCAGTGGAAGAGTAAGTAAGTGACTCATAAGCAAGAAATCTCATATTTAATCTCCAGCTTTACCATTTACTTGTGGCTTCTGGCATATCAAATACTATGATCACTTGTTATTATCTGTAAAATAGGGATACCATTTACCCTGCCTACCCAAAATTAGTTGGTCACCCACTAAATTCCACAAGAGATCACATCATGATCACTGTCCTTAAAGAACTTCTAAGCTTACTGTGGAAACAGCATAAGTATTGGAAACAATGAATGTGTTTTCATTTTAGAACCAAAAGAGTCATAAATGATTTTATTTAATCCCTCATTTTATAAGGGAAATCACAGGCCTCCAAAAGGAGACTTGTTCAAAGAAATAAATTATGACAGAAACAGGACAGGATCTCCATTTTCTAAATGCCCTGCCCAGTAGTTTTTACCATACCACTCTGTTCTTACCACTTCTTGAAACTTCTCCCTCAATGTGCACAGTTTACAACTTATTCTAACGTGATCTACACTCAAATCCAGGAAGGTAAAAATGTAATGACTTAAAACAAAAAGTATGCAGCTGGATTTCTAAGGCTGACAACTTATATAACTTAATAGCAGAACTGAATTTTGAAAGTGCCAATCATATTATTGAGCTGCAATATGAGAAATGAAATGATTAAAAGCACCTGATAACTTAGAAAAATTATCTACTAAGTATCTATCTGGGTTGTGGAAGGAACTTTTATTTTGCATTCTAATTATATTGATATGATGTTGATTCAATTATATTGCTGTTTGAGAAACATCAAATAGGATTTTTAAGATTTAAAAGTACTATACTTGTTGTTATGGTTTAGATCAAGAATGACTCCCAAAACTCTCAAGTGCTCAGAGGCTGCTCTTTTGGAACATGCTTGATCACCAGGGCTGTCATAGCTGACTTGCTGTTAGGAGGTGGGACCTGGATGGTGGAAGGTCACTGAGGGTGACCCATAAGAATATATCTCCCTTCCTGCTCTTGCTGCTTCCTGGCTACCATGACATAAGCAGCTTTCCTCCGTGGTAGGGTCATCCACCATGTCATTTTTGTATTTGAGCCAGGTGACCATGGACTGAACTGTGAGCCAAGACAAACCTTTCTTTCCTCCTTTAAGTTGTGGGTATCATATACTGTGTCTAGCTTGGAGACGAGAGTGACCAAGACATTTGTTAATATAAAATAGTTTTGTTTTTGGTCATCATTCAATTTTCCTATTCATGATTTAACCTAGAAGTGGAATCTAAGTTGAAATAGTTATTCAGTGCCTTCCTTTGGTGCACCATGGATAGGTTATATAATACTGACTTAATGTGTACAAATAAAGAACATAATAAAACATTATGAAATGGTTTCGACATCAGAAAGGACTAAATCTTTAATGTGAAACTGGGTATTAAAAAACCCAAAAGAGCAACAATTAAAAAAAAAACCCCAAAATGACTGCCCAATAACAGAAAATTTCATCTAAAAACAAAAACCTACTTTTCAGAAATGTCTTAATTACTCTCCCCCACCTCAAATGATTGATATATAACTGAAAGAAGGGTTTTTAAGCATAAAAACCTAACAAAAAATGAAATGGCTTTAAGGGAAGAGCATCAAACTGATGTTTCCTTAGTAACACATTTTTCCATGAATGTAAAAGCTTTAGAGAGTCATGCACAAAAACTAAGGCTGTAAGAAAAATATGAGGTAAGTTTGTGAAAACATTTGTAGACCATGAAGCACAAGTTATTATTATATAACAATTTGTAGTCTACAAGCATAGCAGTGCACCACGGAGTAGACGTAAAAGCTTATTTAAAAACTGCAATTCTTGTATACTGACTCACTGAATTTTTATTCTTAAAAAAGAATGCTAGCCATGAAAGCTGGATCAACTATCCACTTCTGAAAAAGGAATTTGTCATAGCCCCAACGGGGGGTGTGGGGGGGGTGCTAACCAAAATTTTTTCTCCTCTTCAAAATACAGGTCTTCTTTTAGCTACTTGATCTTAAAGCAGGTCACCGTTCTTTTTTCTTTGGAACTAAGTTTGCTAGATAAAATATATCAGGCACTGTGTTGAGTAGTTTGCATTTACTGTGTAATTGGGTGTTATACTGATAAAATAAAATGGAAAGTTATCCCTATTTTATAGGTAAGGAAATGAATGTTAAAAGGGGTTAGAACACTTGTATCCAAATAAGTGCTAATAAGTGGTATATTTGATATACTGAACCTCTCTCTAACACCCCAAATCTTGGTCTTCCCTCCACAGTATCATGTAAGATGAGAATGTTCTCAATGCAAAGATGTTTTCTAAGGTTACTTTATGTGATAAAAATATTTGATTCTGTAATCCATTATTCTTCCAAGACGTGAACAGGAAAAATGTATTCACTGAATGTTAATAAGCTTACTACTTTAAACTTACTGGTACTGCAAAGTATTTTAGATTTTTAAAGTAAAGACAACTCAGAGTCTATTATATTTCACTAGGACCTACAGCGTTATGGTATGGGTAATGTGAAGTGCTTAACTTACTGTATTTTTTTCTTAAAAAAAATATGTATTTTATATACATATATTTACTTTCCTAAGTAGTAAGATCCTTAAAACCAATCTTTTGTAAGAACTTAAAAGAAGTATTAAAAACAGTGAAATACCTTTCTCTAAAATAAATTATTGTAGAACAAAGATCATGCTCGCGTTTTCTAACATCGACTTCTGATCTGGTGTTATATTCTGATTGTCACTGTAATCATTATTTATCTTTTCAGAATTAGCTTAACATCTTTTCATCATACACCAGTCTATGTTACTAAGGATGAAATTCATCTAAATCACCCCGAATGCAAGGAGGACACTCAATATTACCAGTACTGCCCTATGGTATCAGAGGCTGAGCATCATTCGGTACTAAGGAAAACATTTTACTGCATTTAATGATCTACTTAACAAGCATTTTTTGAGTATCTATACATACTGTACTAGAAGTTGAACATAACGAAATCTTAGGCCCTTAAGAACACCATGTCCGGTGAACTGAAACTTCGACATAGGCAGAGTCTTTGATGAGGTGATTATTTACAGATACGAGAACTGGTGGACCACACTACTTCACCAAGTCATTCTCCTGTTTTGAGGTGGATCAAATTCAGGCACTAGAGTATCAATTTCAAGCTCACTAGGAGTGTCGAAGTTAGGGTAAAAGATGTCTTTTGAGCTCAAAGAGTCCTCCCCAGACTGTCTCTCAGGGGCTGTGGAGACACCCGTTTGGACCTCGTGAACTACAGTGGTCTGGGAGGCACCTTCTGAGCCCGCACCTGACGGAGGCGGGGGGCAGAACCGGAACGCCAACTCGGTGCCGGGCCTCGCTCACCTCTTCCACCTCGATCTCCTTGTAATCGATTTCTTCAAAGTTAAGGACCTGGGAAGGGGCTTCGATCATCTCACTGGCCGAAGACGAGGAAGAGGAGGAGGCTGCGGAGGCTGTAGACATGATCCCTCGCGGCGCCCGGGAGGCCCGGGGACAGTGCCGCCCGGACAATCCGGGTGAGACCCGCGCTCACCCGCCTCCGGGCCTACCTTCAGCCTGGAGCCGTGCAGGCCAGACACCCGGCAATCCGTGGCGACGGACGGGACTGCAGCCACAGCAGCGTCCCGGCTCCAGCTCCGCAGGGTTTTCCGCTGCCGGGCTCCTCCCACTACACTTCCGGTTCCGGTCTGAAATCACAATCCCGAAGAGGGCAGCAAACCGGAGAGAGGGGAAGAGTGAATTTTGAGATTTGGAAAGAGAAAGGGAGGATAAATTGGAGGTGGAGTGAAGGGGGGTGAAACGCTAGCTCTTGGAGCTCCTAGAACAAACTTCGCGAGACCTTTGTTAAAGGTTCTCCCCTACTGGGTGGTATCGCGAGATCCGATGCGATGACGCAATTAAAATGCGCGAACGGAAGTGGCACGAAACTCGCGGGAAAACCAGTATGAGTGGTTATTTGAGGAGCAGCGGGAAAGATGAAACCTGCAATTTCGGTTTTGCTTCGTGAATTATGTCATGCCCACATCTATTCTCTTCTGAACGGTCTGCAGACGGGCAGGGAAGTTTTTCACTGTTTGTTGCACTGTACTGTGTTTTTGTGGCTAAGATTTTCAGTTTTAGTCGAAATCAAATCGAGCTGTTTCTTTAAGAAGCCTTGCAGAATGTTTCCTCAGTGTGGTGTTCGGAAGCCCTTGTCTGTACTTTGAGCTAGTACCCGACTCTAAGGAATTCTAAAAGTCAAGTCATTGTAGGAGCGCATGCAATCTGAGTAAACACCCTGAAAGCTGAGTGCCCACGAACAGAAGTTGATATTTTGATGTTACAAATTTTACACGGATAATGTGGATAAGTTATTTACAATTTGACATAATTTGTGTTAAGTGTTAAACTTTGGTCAGTTTGACCTGAAACAAGTGGAATAATTGAGGTTAGAAATGGGAATTTAAGAACCAAGGGTGGAGTTTTGCAAATGCCAATTTTGAGTCGCAGTGGAAGACTGAAAAAGGGACTGGCGATTTAGCTCTGTAGTAGAGCACTAGCATACACAAGGCCCCGGATTCAGTCCCTACCAAAGTGCGTGTGTGTGTGTGTGTGTGTGTGGTATTCTGAAAGGGGGATGTGGGGCAGTAATAATACAGGATGTCGCTGGAGGAGAGCTTTCCAATGAAGGAGTAGTCAACCAAGTAAATTCTGTAGAGAAGTAAGTTAAACACCTTTGAGATTAAAAATAGGTCATTGTATTTGGCAAGAAGTTATTTTGAACTCCTAGAAAATATTGAGTCACTTTTTATTGGCAGGTTTTAGTAACATTTAATAACAATTTGTGACAATTTGGTAAGTAGATAAAAGAATGAAAAGAGGAATAATTTCTCACTGTAAGCATTCTATCTAGATAATCTTAATGAGATGTAGATGATCTAATGAGGGTCTTGTCGTGCAGTACTGTTTTTATAATCATGATGCTCAATCTCTTAATACTGTACTCAGATTTCCTCTTAATTCAAACACCTAAATTTAAGATGCCGAAAGCAAATTAAAAAGTCACTCACCACAAGGTTTTCCTCTGTGTGGAATGCGTTTTCTGTTTCACTAAAGGATCCTCTCCATTCAGCTGTCCAAGTGAGAAATCAGGACACATGAATTTATGTGCAGTGTGCTAATAACCGAATATCAGATTAAATGACTGTGATAAGCATTTCACCTGTCATTCCTCTTACATTTCCAAACTAGAATAGTCAACTCTTAGGCTATCATTTTGCAGGTCTATCTTTGATTTCTCTGTAACACCTTGATTTTAATACAGTGGGAATTCAAGAAATAATTTGTTATATATTGTGGAAAAATTAATAGCTTTTGTGCTCTCTGTTCCTGGAGTATAAGATCTAATTACTATACCTTCATTCTGGGACTAAAATCCTGACAAAAGAGCTATCACTACAGGCATGATGCAGTTCTGCCTTGACTTTTTTCTCCAAGTTTTTATTACTGTAAGTGTCAAATATACAGAAAAGTTGAAAGAATTTGGTGGTATTTACAGTATACCCACCAAAATTCTTCCTCTGACATTTTACTGTACTTGCTTTACCATATATTTATCCATCTATTCATCCATTTATGCTACATCCATTTACAGTGGGTGATCAAAATATACATAAATGTTTAAATTAATTATTTTACAGTAAAAGGCAAATTATCATTCATCTCCCTCAAAATACTCAGCCTCACATCACACACACTTATCCTGTCATTCTTGCCACTTTCTGAAGCAGTTCTAGAAGCCCTCTTTCCTGAGTGTCTTTAGAAGTGTGATTTTTAAAACTGTGGTGAACCGTGTGGCCAAGTACTATCCAACAGAAAGATAAGCTTGAAGAAGCAGTATGATGTGTCTTCATTTTATGCATTTGATCTCTCACTACATGACTTATGGCTCTTTCTGAAAGTCAAAATGACTGTGAAAGATAAATTGTTCAAATTGATTCAGGGCATCAAGGCAGCCATGACAGTGGAACTAAAGAGATTCAAAAAGAAGACTTTCGGAACTGCTTCAGAAAATGGCAAGAACAATGGGATAAATGTGTTTGAAGTGAGGACATATTTGGAGGGGAATTAATGGCAATTAATGTAATAAATTTTTAAGAACATCATATTTTTCAGTCTTACCTCATATTTGTTTTTTGTTAAATGCATTTCAAAGTAAATTGCTTTACAGATTTTGAGCATCATCTACCCAATACTTCTGATTCTTTGTTTTATACATTTATTTTTACTTCTAATATTGATGCTAGTCTAAAATCAGTTTCCAGAAATGTTCACATCTCTAGTTCCAGTTATCCCCAAGGTGTAGACTCTACTTCCATTCTGTTTTGTTTATGTTAAATAGTAAGTTCCAGTTTTTCATTTAACCTGGTCTAAGTTGTATTTTTTTTTTTGCTTGCAATTAATCCTATTAATGTTTCAATTCAGAGAAATGAAGGAAAACAGCTAAATCCATCTTGTTTTACAATTTTAACTTTGCATCCCCTTTAATTTCTTTAACTTTCATGAATTAAGGATGTAAAATCTCACTGAGATGGGAAGTAAAGTAAACAAAGGGCAATGATAAGATTTCTAGATTTCTTACTTGTGCTTCACAGGATAGGAAGAGTGACTTTTATGGAAGGAGGGCAGACTGAAACCAGACTGGGAGAGAAAACAATGAATTAGTTTTAGATGTGACATATTGATCTGGAGGTACCTGAGAAACTTTTAAGTGTTATTATATGAGCTGGTGGGATTGAACCCAGGGCCTCATGCATACTAGACAAATGCTCTTATCACTGAGCTATACTTCTAGCCCAAAATTTTACTATTAAATAAGTAGCTGATCTTAACAAAAAACAGAACAGAGCTACAAAAGCAGATATTGGTGTATTTAGCAAAATTAAAGCCATTAGAAAAAAATCATGGAAGGAGAATGTGTAAAGTGAAAAATAAAGCTTAACACAAAACCTTAAAGGATAAAATAGTTAGGGTTGGGTGGAAATGGAATAACTGCCAAAGGAATTTGTGAAAAACTAAAAATTATGATGTTATGGCAGCCAAGATAAAAAGGGTGGTTCTGTGTTGAACATTGTAATTACAAGAAGTTAAATGTGAGAAAAACAACAGTATGTATTGTCCTCAGGGACTCAGAGGTTATTCATGGCTTTGGCTAGGGAAATTTTCATATGGGAACAGAAACCAAATGGGTTGGATTGAGAAGTGAATGAAAAGGGAGGGAAATGACAGTAATATGGACAACTTTTTAAAAATTTTAATTAAGGAAGGAAATGTTCAGAATAGTGTGAATTAAATCCACATTGGAGCAAAGGAATTTAGGACTTTTGCAAGAGTGGAGTTGAAATGATGGATCATGGAAACTAACCAAATGAAGAATGAAGTGGTAATGGGAAGGTGTGATGGTTTGGGAAGAGGCAGATAGTGTCTACAGGGTAGAGATTTGTCATGTGGTTGAAGAACAGATGTGATGAAAGTTTCTTAGGAAAACTGAGTTGATCTAGGGTTGTAAATAAAGACCAAGATGCTTGAATTTGTTATTTCAGAGGTGATACAGTTTCAGGTGAGGGCAAGAGCTCATCCAAGATATTAGGAGAAATGGAGGACTAGGTCTTAGCAACTGAAAAAACTGGGAACTAAAATGTCGGGATATTGATGGATCATTCATCTAATTGTCTGCTGTTGAACATAGAGGTTGTTTCTAACTTTTTTCCTACTAAATAGCAAAAGCTATTTATAGCCAAATAAATAGCAAATAGCAAAAGCTATTCTGTTTTTCTAGTTATCTTACTTTCCTTTCTCTTAAACATTTCTAGTTTGCCTATACTTTGAAGAGGGGTAGTAAATTAATTGGAGTTAGGATTTCTGTGATTTATTTTTAAAACATGGGTTTTAGAATTTTTATGATGGGTTCTTATCCTAGTTCTGCCACATATCTGGAGTAAATTTCTTAAACGTTCACTTTTAGTTTGTCTAATACCTATAGCAAAGATTTTGGTGCAAATTAAGAGTGACTGGATCATAGAAATTAATTAAATGTGAAATAATTGTTTGTTTTTCCTTGCTTGAAGGGTAATCATGGGGAAAACAATTCTCCATCACAGACTGTGATGTCCATGAGACTGTGTTGTCTCAGGATAGTTCAGTTGTTGACTGGTATAAACTTGGAAGGAGCCAGAGTTGTGGTGCATGCCTGTAATCCCAGTATTTGGGAGGCTGAGGCAGTAGGATTGCTATTAGTTCAAGGCCAGTCTGGGCTACATAGTGAGTCCAAGGCCAGCTTCAACTACATAGTGAGTCCAAGGCCAGCTTCAACTACATAGTGAGACCCTGTCTCAGCGCCCCCCCCCCCAAAAAAAAAACCTTGGAAGGAAAGAGAAGCTAGTTTAGGTCAATTGGTGGAGGAAGAAGAACATGCTAATGATTTTTTCAGGTATAATACTGCTTACTAGTTTCACCAAGAGGTATCTCTGCTTTCAATTTCACAGTTTAAATTGCCCCTCGCTGGCTTTTCTATAGTATGTTCCTCATGGGAATGGGGGAATAAGAAAAATTATGTTCCAGATGTACAGGATCCTGAAATACTCAAAGAGTCCTAAAGCTATATGTGTAAGCTGATTATCTATATCTGCCCTTTGGAAGGCCACATAGGGGTCTCCCATTCATTCATATTCTCTGTGTCTCTGTCTCTCTCTCTCTCGCTCTCCCTCCCTCCCTCCCTCAATGAATTTTGATGGGCAGATTGGGTACAGGATGTGAGTGTTTAAGGCTCATACCACCTCATTCTAGTAAAGGAATATTGCCATGAAAGGAGAATGTACTATTTTCTTAACTAGTTTGTCATCTTGATTTGGAAATTAGAAGCATTTATAGTATGTGGGCCTCCCCTGGGTCCCACTAATGTTAGTAGGTCTGTTTTTGTATTTGTTGATCTGTTTTTATGTGCTAGTAGTTTACAGGTAAGGTATTCCCAACTTAGGTTTGCTATTTCCTAAATTTCTAGAGAAGTCTGTGTTATCACTTAGGTCTCAGCTCAGTTATTACCTCAGAGATAGTGATATTATGCTCCCTTTGATTCCCTACCCTTTCCCTTTCTGCCCATTCTAATTTTATTTTATATCTATAGTTTGCCTACCTTACATCATCTTACTTAATAATTTTGTCCTTTGTTTATTTTCTGTCATCCCAGTGCCTCTTCAGTCCTGCTGATTGAATGTTAGTTCCACTGGGGCGGGAATAGTGTATTGTTCATCATTGTCTTCTTAGGATTTAGAACAGTATCTGAAATGTAGTAGAAACTTAACTTTTTAGAAAGTAAGTGAATATATACTGTTCTGAGTAAATGTTGTTTAATTTATTTCAGGTATGAAGGTTAACCAAATATTTTCTTATAATATTATTAGGGGAAGATTTAATAACTAAATTTATATATAATTAATATACCAACTATTTGTAATAAATGTTTTTAAAGTATTGGAGTGTTTTAAAAAATGCTTCATTTTCCTGGTTTCCAATCTTATTAAAGCTGATTTTTAGGATACTTTCTCTTCAGAGATTTTTTTCCCAAGGGTAACTTTAGTTCTTCCTTTCAATGTGAGCACATTTAAATAGTTTATTGTTAAAATCTATTAGTGTTATTGTGGCATTAATGATCACTTTCAAAAATAGCTGATATTTTAACTAAAAATATGTGAAATTAGAATACACAGGTTTTTGTTTTCTGCGCTTCTGAGGCAAGCTTCAACATGATGTACCTCAGTATCAATATTTAAAAGCAGAAAGTTAATCAGATAAGAACATGTTTGGGAAATAAAAATAATCTTCGTGGAAATAGTGCTCCTCACTACAAAATTGCATTCATTAAATGTTTTATTTCACAGATTAATATATCAAATCAGTGTTCTTAGATTTTTTTTTTTCTCAGAAGAAATTCCAGAAGCAATTTAACTTCATTTTCAGGAATAAATAAGGGTGTTTAATTTCACACAGCCTCAGGGAATCACAAATTAAAACTTTCTACTAAAATGGATGCCATCTACTATTCATTATTTCAACAAACAAAACACTGCTGAAGTTGCAATCAGGGTAAGGGATATTGTAGTGCTTGAAACCTGGAAGGGTGAGAGGTCCTACTTTGTGTTCTTGTTCCTAAGCAGCCCATTTCACATCTTCCTCTGAGTTCTCCAGCACCCCACAGAGCTACTCTCTGTGGCAAAAAGCTTCATTAAGTAAATAGAGTCTCTGCATTTAGAAGCCATCTCAGGGAATTCAAAGTGCTCTGAGAGGGAAATTGGAACTATCAAGATTAAGGTATTAATGAAAAGTTCTGTTAAATTCCTGTTGGGATGCTAATTAATCTTCTAAAAATTGTTAATCAATTCAATTATATAACACACTTTAACACACAGTTACAGGAAAAGTAACAGGGTCTTTTATGCCCAGAGGCATGAAAAAGTTAAGGGAAATTGTCTAATGGGAAAATCATCCCTAAATAGCGTTTTAGCTTGATCTTCAATATTCACTTGTTCTATCCCACTTGATAAATTTGGGAAATCAATATTTTGTGCTCAGATGTTTGAAGAAATACTAGACATAGTAGGAGAAATGCAGGAAGTGGAATTATGACAACTGTTCCCTAATAGAATTGCTTACCTGAAGAGCAAAAGACAATCTTAGCACGAGTGTATGCATGCTGACACACATGCTGATAACTGTGGTTTGAGCAAGTAATCTGATAAATTTTTAATATTTGAAACCTAACCATAGGAATTGGAAGTATTGCACTGAAGGAGCTCCACTAAGTTTCTGTCGTTGTTAAAATATTTTGTTTGAGTCAGTAGGAATTTGAATCAGTTTAATTTTGTTAAATATTAAAATGTCAATCCATCTTTAGATTGTTTAATATACTGTCTGAAATGGTATATGAAATTATGTACTTAGTGCCTATAAAATATATGCCACTTGAGAAGTGTTAACATGAATGGCTATTTGTGGCAGTGCTTGCCTGTAATCTCAGCTACTTAAGAATCTGAGCCAATAGGATCCCAAATTCAAAGTCAGCCTGAGCAATTTATCAAACCCTGTTCCAAAATAAAAAGGGCTGGAGATACAGCTCAGTATACAGTGGGATCAATACCTAATACTGCAAAAGAAGAAAAAAAGTGAAGTACTATGTAAAGAAGCAGAAATAGATGACATAATTTAACACCAAAAGTGAGGTATAACCTTATGGGTCATTCAATGAGTATTACTTTTGCAGATTCTGATCCAGTAAGTCTAATTTGACCAGAGCAGCATTAGTTTCTAATTCAGTCCAGTCAGAGTTGAGAACCTTTGAGGTTATATATCAGCAACAGGTTTTATTTTCATAAATAATTTGAATAATCATTTTGGAAAGCTAAAATTTGATTACATTTTAATCTTGGGCCCATTTTCCTATTGTCCATCTATTCTGCCATGTGGTCTGTATATGTTGCCTAGTCTGGTCTTAAACTCAAGATTCTTCCACCTAAGCCTCCCAAGTAGTTTACAAGAATTCTCTAGCATGCCCGTCACATTTTCTAAGAAGAAAATTGGTGCTAATGATTCTGCTTCAATTTAATAAATATCTTTCTCCTAAAGTTGAAGACTGTTTCCGATAGGCTCCATGGAACCTTTATGAGATGAGACACCTTCATATTGGATGTCTTTTTGGTAAGTTTTAATATCTCAGTTTTATTGATTAATTCAAATGTTAATTGGATTTGCTGAAACCTGTAGTAATTATATGAACAAAAGAACCCAGTAACATCTGCTAATCTAGAGTAAGGGAGTGGAGCAAGGGAGACCAGTTAAACTGAGGACAAATAGGATAGATGAACAAAAGGACACTTGAAGGAAGTGGTTTATATAAAGTTATTGGTACTGGTGTATGTTAATGCAATATTGTCATACAAAATTGTTTTGTCAACTTGATATACTTTTTATAAAAGACAAGAAGTATCGTTTTAATGATCTCTAGAGCAGCAGTCCCTAAAGTATTTGGCACCTGGGACTGGTTTTATGGAAGACAGTTTTTCCACAGATGGAGTATTATAGTTTGGGGGCGTTCAGGATGAGTCAAAGTAGGGATTGATATCCCATGAGAATCTAATGCTACCACTGATCTGACAGAACACAGAGCTCAGGTGCTAATGTGATTGACGTGGAGTAGCTATAAATACATTTGAAGCTTTAGTCCTTGCATGCCACTCACTTCCTGCTGTGCAGCCCTGTTCCTAAAAGGCCAAAGACTAGTACCATTTTCTGACCTGGGATTTGGAGACCTCTGCTATAGAGGATTCTCCTGAAGCTTAGAGACAGATTTTCAGTTCTAGATTTCTTACTTCGATCTCAAATGATTGAATTGCTTTGGGGCATACTGGAGTCCCTTAAGACAAATAGTTAATTGTAATCGTCCTTGAAGAATGACATTTATTTATTTATTGGTACTAGGGATTGAACTCCGTCTTCACACTGAGCTGTATCACCAAACATACCCCCACCATACACACACATTTTGAGACAGGGTCTTGCTAAGTTGGCCAGGCTGCAACTTGTGATCCTCCTGTCTCAGCCTCCTGGAGTGATAAGATGATAGACATGTGCCACCACACCTGGCTTGAAGAATGATTTTTGAATATTGATCTTCCCTGGAAGAAAATGAGACTTGTCTTTTTACTTATTGGAGTAGATAATTATGTGCTAGGGTTGCATCACAGTGGTTTTCCTAATAGTTTTCCCTTTTATTTTCTTATCTGATCATTTATTACTGATTTAAGGCCAACTTTACTTAAAACTTGAGTAGCATGGAGACATTCTTTGGCTTCAGTGAAATAAATTTAAGCAGAGCAAAATATTTTAAAAGGTGTGAGTTTAATCCCTAGGAATGAATCCTCAGGGATATTTAGGAATATGGTCCATCTGTAATGAGTGCATCAAATGTACTGTTGTTATACTATAAGGTGTTAAGTAGAGATAGATCATATGAGAAGGATGAAAAAATAGCAAATATTATAATTCAGTTTGTATTACAATTTTAGATCTCTAAATTTCTTGAATTTCTCTAATAAATACTTCATTTTCTTTGATAAATCACTTAAGGTTAGTGTCTCATTATCTTGATAAAAACTAGAGGAAATTCACAGCCTAAAGGGAAATTTCATTCTGAGACTAAATTAAGCAATATTCGATCAATCTAAATGAGAGTGAGTTCTATACCTCCTCACACATCCAATTTAAAAGTTTACTAATCAATATAATTATCTTCATTAAAAGGAAAACAATACCACATTTTCATTGACATGCTGTTTATTAAACTAACAAAAATGGAGTTGTCTTTGGTCTTAATTTCATAAAATGTTGCTTACCTTAACTTTTCTGCTCTGAATTGATTTCTACCTTTTTCTAAAGATTCATTATCAACTTTATTAAGCCTAAAATTGATTTCCTTTGGAAAACAAAGAATACATTATATTCTAGGTCTTCAGCTTAATTTATAAAGGAATAGATATTATCAGAATTGATAATTCTCCAATTGAAGCATATTGAACTGGCATAAAATTATTTCTGAAAGCAAAGGAATTTACCTGCAGCACTGTAATAAGATGTGAAATTAGCATTAAATATTTAGCCTTGAGATTCCATTGAATCTTGAGAAAGAATGTGAGCAATACAGTGTGTGTAGAGAACAAGAAGTAAGATACCTATATCTCTTAAAATCAAGATGCTTTTTTACTTTAGTTTTTGTGTATATAATTGTATTTATATTAAGGCAAATTATGAAGATGTAATCTATTATTCTTGATTCACTGTGGCTGGAAGTGGTCATGGTGACTATCTTTTACAAGGAAAAATTCCTGCATCAAAGGTATCCCCTCTTATCTAGGTTGCCAAAGTGTACTTTAAAAAATAACTTTGAATTCAGAACTCAGAGCAAGTGGGCTGCTATTGCTATGTTGTGATGTGTCTGTATCTGGACAGCTCAGTCCTAAATCATTCATTCCTTTTTTAAGCAACAGTGATAGTTGTAGTAGGACATAGTACTAGCACAGTACTAGCTACCATATAATAGTATAATAGTATACTACCATATAATAGTATCCTTAAAGGCTGTTTAGTCTGGAGCTAAAAAGAAGTTACCTTTTATTTTCATATCTTTTTTTTTTTTTTTTTTCACTCTGGGCTTTCTCTTACATAATGGTTGCCATTACTTGTCTGCTTCAGCAGGCATTCTGAATGCCCTGCCCATATCCCCTAAGATTCTCTTACTATTTTCACATGTATCAGATTGACTTCACAGGGCCAGCAACTACATCTGTATTGAATAGCTACCTTTGATTTACCAACACTCATGTTAACCTCATATATAGGCAGGCAGGAAGTTCTTGGAAATTAATGTCTCCCAGGTGATGGACTGTAACCCCATGACCTATGGTGTAGATGTACAAATATTCAGGCTCCTCAGCCCTTTTGCTAGAATAATTTTAGAGCATCCTCTTGCTGTGCAACTAGAGTAGCTGTTTAATAATTTACCTGTTTGCCCCATTTTCCATTTCTGCATCACTTTCCTCTTTCTCTAAGGGTCACTCTTCCAAATAAACCATCTGTACTGTCTTTACCTCAGGGTTTGCTTTTAGGGGAAACTCAACTAATAAGTTTGTAATTTCCAAACAATCTAGGTAGAATCTTGGTTGTGACAGTGCAAGTCTACCAATACAAATAGTATGTAGTGTTTTTGTCTTGTTTTATTTTTCAAGCATGAAAGTTTATATACCTTAATGTATGATTGGCAGAATCCTTTAGAGTATATTTGATTGCAGAGATAACAGTAACATAATGTAACATAAATGTTCATATATATATGTATATATAAATTCATGCTCAGTGACTCAAATTCATGCAAATTTTGTATTGGATTAATTGGTTTCAATTTTAAATTACCAAATGACCTACCAAATTGTTAACTTTAAATAGTGTAAATAACTGGACGGCGTGCATAGGTGTGTCTTTTATTGAATATCTACTGTGTGCCAGGTGCTGTACCAGTCTTTGCAGATATAGCAATGACTAAAACTAATGATTGCTTTTTCTTCATTCTCTGCCTTCATGAAACTTGGCATTTGAGCTTATTTTGTTATTTCCAACAATAATGACTGCTATTCTTGCAAATATATGTTGTTCTTACAAATCTTGATAGTTTTTGTAAATCTTAATAATTATTAATAAGAGGTTATTGGGTTCACTCATTGATTTTAATTTGTTTCCCTAATACTTGAATTGCAGTGCAAGAGTAGTCGTATACTTTCTCTGCTATGTTCTTCTATATTGATAACAGATTTCTTAGTTTGCTAGTTTTTAAATTTTTTATTTTTTGCTTTTCATCTTTAGTCATTCTTTTCTTTTAAGAATGACTTTTCATTCTTGTTGATATTATTTGTCTTAGCTCCTGTTATGGCATATAATATTTACATTAATTGGGGTTATTAGGTTCCTATAAATGGCATGTCTTTATTCTTATTTCCCCTTCCCCTCTTCCTCACCCCTCACTGTTATTCCCTTGGACCACTTCCGTATTGGCAAGAGATCCATCCCTTTCCCCCTTTCTATCTATCCTTTACATTTTCTCTGTTTGCATTTTGCCTCACTCAAATGAGAGATACCTTATAGTATTTAAGCTTGTGTGTCTGGTTTATTTCACTCAACATTACATTTTCTAAGTGCATCCATTTTCCTACAGATGTCTCAAATTTGTCATTCTTTATAGCTGGGTAGTATTCCACTATATATAAATACCACATTTTCTTTATCCTGTCATCTGTTGATGGGTATTCAGACTGCTTCCAGGATTTAGCCATTGTGAATTGTGCGGCTATAACATTGGTGTGCCTGTATCACTGTAGTATGATGACTTAAGTTCTTTGGGGAAGATACCTAGCAGGGCAATAGCTGGGTCATATGGAATTTCTAATTTCAATTCTTTAAGAAATCTTCAAGACAAATAATATCAACAAGAATGAAAAACAGGATAGGGGAACTAGAGGAGGAGGGAGGGATGGAGATTAAAAAAAGAAAGAAACATGCTGCAGTAGGTACATGTAATCATTCCCCAAGATGATTGTCAACTGCATGAACTGCAAACATGTACAAATAAAATAACATAAAAAAAAGACTTTATTATTGTGGAATTTTGTTTCAAAGTTTATTTTATTACCCTACTAGTGTCTTACTGAGATTAGTGTTTCTCAAAGTTTTCATATCTGTTTAGCCATATTTACACTTAAGATTTTTTAAACTTTTGATTAAGCACACAAATTTATTACAGTTTTGATTAATAACTGATCTGAAACACAATTCTTAATACTATTCAGAACAGTGTATGTGTTTGAAATTAATACCATGTTTAACTTTACATATTGTAACATTTTTCAGCTTAACTTAAAACAGTTCACTTAGTATTTTCTTTAAAATGCATAACATTCTTGCAGGTGGTTGCTGCCACCTTGTTGCATGTCAACATGTATTTATAAATGAGATTCCTGTGCATTCATTGATTGGAGAGCTTACCTGAAATCAGCATCTCACCAAAAAATTGAACAAGACTAGCAGAAAGTTTATATACATAGCATCTATTATTTGAAGGTTTTGAATTCATATATGTATATCCTTTGAAAAAT